CTTCCTTCCTTCCTTCCTTCCTTCCTTCCTTCCTTCCTTCCTTTCCTTTCCTTTCCTTTCCTTTCCTTTCCTTTCCTTTCCTTTCCCTTTCCCTTTCCCTTTCCCTTTTCCTTCTCTTTCCTTCCTTCCTTCCTCCCTCCCTTCCTCCCTTCCTTCCTTCCCAAAATGAAGTTTACTTGAAGGCGGATTGGTTCTATGGTGAACCCCTTACTGAATTTCAATCTGGTTTCCTCCTCCCTCCCTCCCTTCTCAAAATGAATCTGTTTTTAAGGCTGATTGGTTTTATGGCTGATTGGTTTTATACTGCATTTCAATCTGTCCTTCCTTCCTTCCTTCCTTCCTTCCTTCCTTCCTTCCTTCCTTCCTTCCTTCCTTCCTTCCTTCCTTCCTTCCTTCCTTCCTTCCTCCTTTCTCTCTCCCTTTCTCCCTCTCTTTCTCTTTCTCTTTCATCGTTTTCCACATTGCTCTATGCGTCCACGATCTGAGCTTTATATGAATTCTTGAGTTTTTGCAGAGGGGAGGAGGGGGAAGAATAAACGGAGAAGGAGCTTTTTCCGCTAGGCGAGGCCTGAAAGGGGATTTTTGTCATATGTTTCATTCTATATAGAGGCATTGAGCGGGGGGGCATAGATGGGTGGGGGAGCCAGGATTTCTGTCGCTTATGAAAGATTTCATTCTGGCCCGTGGCTTCCAGCCATCTGAAGTGAATTGAACTTCCGGCCACACCGGCATTAAATTTGAACTTTTCAGGGACCCAAATCCCCTTTAAAATGCTTAATAGCTCCCCTCCTCGCCCTGTGTCAACTGAGGAGGATAAGAAATTGAAAGCACAGAAAACCTACAAAGGGAAGTCTTTGGAAATCGGATTTGTAGCAGGATGACTCTATCATGTTAAGCCAAGTTTGCCCTCCTTCCAGCTTGAGGAATAAACTATGGTTTAGTCTATGAACCGTGCTCTGCTATAAATAGAGCAGCCTTCCAATATCTCAGGGGCTGCCCCAAAGAAGAGGCAGTCAAGCTATTCTCCAAAGCACCTGAGGGCAGGACAAGAAGCAATGGGTGGAAACTAATCAAGGAGAGAAGCAACCTAGAACTAAGGAGGAATTTCCTTAATTATGAGAATAATTAATCACTTGCCTCTAGAGAAATGTGGGAGCTCCATTACTGGAGGTTTTCAAGATGAGACTGGACAGCTGTTTGTCCAGAATGATATAGGGTCTCCTGCTTGAGCAGGGGTTGGACTAGAAGACCTCCAAGGTCCCTTCCAACTCTGTATTCTGTTCTGTAAACCATTAATGTTGGGTCTATGTTAGAGTGTTTCTCATTTCTTTTGCATTAAAGAAGACCTTAACCCTAGAGAAAATCCGAATTCTTTATCTTTGTACCAACATTTCTTTCTCTCTCATCTATCTCTCTATCTCTCTATCTTATCTATCTATCTATCTATCTATCTATCTATCTATCTATCTATCTATCTATC